TGATTTTTTTTTCCTGGGTAGAAAGGTTTGTTCATTTGCTTGTCCCAGGGCACATAGATAAAATCAAGCTAATATAATTCCTGAAAGTGATGGCATACTACATTATCTTTAAATGCCAGCTCATAACACATCTCTGGCATAAACAAAATGTACAGCGTTAACTGTCCCAGTAATTATTGATATAGCAACAACGAGTTAAATCATTGTCTCCATGTTAGCTGATCACTACTAATGCTTTTCAGGTGAAGTTTGTGTTTACTACAAATTATAGTGCTGCCCAAGTTCCTGCTAAAAAAACTACAAGTTCTTGCTGTGAGCTTTGCTGGGAAGATAGAGTTTGAATTCCTTCTTGCATCAGGGTTGTGTGGAACTTGCATTTTAAGTGGAAGACTTTGTGAAATTGAAGCAGTGGTAGGCCATCAATTAAATTTTTAAAATTAGATTTATTCAAATGAGACAAGAATTCTTACCGCCTCTTTCTTTTGTCTGCTGACGGTTACAAATCAAACCAAACCATGCTCCCCCTGTTGACAAACAACTGTGTTGGGTTGCAGTTCATTGGGCCTGTACATTTCAAGCCTCCCAGGGTCTCAACTGGCTGCAGCCCCATTTCCTCCCTTGGTCTCTCCAGCATATTTTCCATATGCAGTTTCTTTGTCTGTTACTACTTGTAGAACAGAGCTCTATACCCAGCACTGAAAGAGTCCCAGCTACATAAGTAGCTTAAATGCACTGTTTCTATAAGCTAAAGCCATGTCAATGTTTTGGAGCTTCATAGGTTGCATCTTAAAGGGCACGTTAAAATGTAATGTATTAGCAGCACATTGGTTTTGTATAGGAGTCAAAGCACCATTGCTTTTTACTTTGTAGCACAAGAAATGCACGTAAAATAACAACTTCTAACATGTATTGCCTTGCCTCAGTTTCTTTAGTGTTTCAGAATGGTCTTTGGCTTGTCTAGGATCCTCTTCATGTAGTTTATAGCTTGTCTTCTAAGTAATGAAACCTTTCTAGTTCAGCTTACTTCTTAACACAGGTTGGTCCCACAACTAAACCCTACCCCTCTGCTACAAGAATCTTCTCATTTCTTTCCCTCTTGCCCGTATTTCTGGGCCTTCCTTGGTTTATGGGCCTCCTTTCCAACACCTGTCTTTATTCTGCCTTTGGTTGTCTTCCATTGTTCTAAGTGCCAGTACCCTTGCAAATACTCTTGAGCTTCAGCCAGTATACGTAGCATCCTATCTGTTTGGTCAACGTACAGTTGCTAAGACTAACCCCCCTCCACTGCCCCCAGCATGGTGGATGTGAGCTTAGCGATCTCGTCAGCAGAGATGGTCAGTCCACACTATGACCACCTTCATTGTAGAAGGCCAGGTGGATTTGTACCTTGTAAACCAACCAAAGTGTGTGTGCATGCGTGAATGTAGCACATGCTTTTTTTGCTCAGCTTTGCTATATCAAGCTGAATTTCCAAGTTGTGCATAGACAAGCACCCTGAATGTCCCCAGCTCAGGAAGCAAGGGTTCTGGCTGGTCTAAACAGAGATCCTGAAGCTGCTGTCACAGCTCTTCATCCTCATGTTTTTACTGGCTGTTTTCTCTGATCTTATACATTTGTGTCTCAGGGTCTTCTGGGCAAAGCCCTGTGCACAGGTGTAATAAGTGGCATTTCATGCTGAATGTGAATTGAAGTAAGAAGCTGAGTTTGGAAGTTTGGGTTGCCAGTACCATGTTCAGGCAGGCAAGGGAACGTCCCCTACTAGTACGATTTAGGTCAATCTTTACACAGATGCCAACATGGAACTTCAGAGTAAGATACCAACTCAAATCCATTTTCCAACTGAACTGCTGGCAATGAAAACAAGACATGCTGACCTGACCATCTGATGCAGAGCCTGAAGAAAAACATCCAGCATGACAGTTCTGGTTTGTTAAGCTTAGGATAGAAGGACTAAACACCTATTGATATTCAGGTTTTTTCAGACCTTTTCCCCCTTGAGGATGCATTATTATGCTTTTCACCTCTGTGATACCAAAGAAAGGCCTTTACAAAACAAAGATAATCCTGCTTCTGGAAAGTTTACAGTATATGTACAATACTGTGTTTGAGCTATTGCTTTGTTAGAGACCATGGTAAAATGACACACAGTTTTAGTAGGAAAAGTAGCCAATTCAGCATTCCATTTTATAGGCCTGTATTGTAATTTAGAATGGTTTCCAGTATGGAGTGCCAATTTGCTAGTGTTGTTGAGAATCTCTTGTACATGTACATGCATTATTTAGTTCCAAACAGCCCATTTAGCTGAGGAAGGGGGAATACAGCAGATTTCCCCTCCTACCTACACTAGTTGATTGACATGTTAGAAATTCTGGAAGAGTAGAGCATTGTGAGCCCAAAGTCAACAACCATTTTTGAACAATAGGAAGCATCTCAGAGTCCAAGAAGTCTGACAAATAGCCATCTCTTGGAGAAAGCATGCAGTCTCTTAGACTGTGCACTGAGCTTCCCGACTTATTTTTTTAACTCTTCCAAGGCAGCCATTTTAGAAGCAAAAGAAACATTCCCATAGCTTTGAAATACTTTATGAAAGCTTGTGCTAGTGACTTCTGTAATGTTGATACCCATAACACTCTCCCTTCCAGTCTAGCAACTATTTCTGAAACTAATTACTTCAGCATCCCTGCTTATTACAAGCTCTAGCTGGGGAGTATCAGTTATACATGTACTTTCTCATAGTTTGGACTGTACGTGACTGCTCCTTGCTTTGCAATGAAAGTCAACTCCTGAAGAGATTTGAGATGGTCCTTGTTAAAACCAAGCGATAATTAGGCCCACTTAAAGAAATGTATGGCTTGCTATTAACTCATTGACTGCTGTAGATTATATTTTAATGTGGAGTAATTTGTATAGCCAAGATGATGATACAGTGACACAAACTCATTGTTATGGGGTGATTTCAGTGCAACATACCATCATCCAGAGACCTCCAAGCATTTTAAAAACAATTATGCCTCATGATGGAGAGTGATATGCCCAGTAAACTGAGGCTTCAGAGGATAAATTAACCTTTCTCAAGGTTATCCTTAGCAGCACTGATAGGCTGGTCTCCAGGGTTCTTGAGTAACCAGTAGGTAATGCTGAAAGCATTTTTTTTTTTTACTACATCTTAACCTTGGCGTAGTGTCCTGCAATAAAAGCATATTGACACATTATTCTTGTGCCAGCTTAAATTTAAATTCAAGCCTGTAAGAGAATATCATGGTATCCCATTCAGATCAGTTGATACAGTGCCAGCATTGTTGACATAAGACAGTCTTTCACCACTAACTGCAAGTGTATTTTGTTTTTGACTGTGTTTTTATTTATTGAAAGTGTAAGAGAGATTGGTAGGTTCAGGATTGGGGGGAGGGGAGTTTCTTATAATGTGTGGTGTCATGTTATTTTAAGCAAAATAGATTATTTAGCTAGGTTAACACTTCAGTTGTGCATGTCCAATATCAATATTTGCCAAGCTTTGTTTGATTTACAGAGAGAACTATTTTTAACTAGTGTCTCTAAAAGCATTTTTTTTCTTTACATTAGTTTGTTAAAACTTAAAGCATTAGTAAACAAACAGCAAGCAGTTCAGGTTGCATTTAAATCCATTTCCCTGTGACTCGACAACAAAAAATAGCCAATCAATCCCACTCTTGGGTTCTTGTAGCTGCAAATTTTTGCTACAAACACCAGGAAGATTTTTTTTTTTTAATTATTTTTTTCCACTGAGCTGATTAAAAGAAGAAAATAAATTGGGGCCCAGTGTTTGTAGGCCTTGAATTTCATAAAAGAGGCTTCTACTTAAATGTTTGGGGCTGAAATGAACCTGGCACTGCCATTTTAAATGATTCCTCCTAAGCAGAGTGCAATGGCCTGGAACTGTCCCCTCTAGACTCCGGCTAGCACTTCGAAGCAGCCAAAGAGAAGCCTGTCCCTAGGGAATCTGTTTTCCTCCTCATGCAGAGCCCAGAGTAAGTTGGCTCTGGAAAGAGCAGGATGGCTGCAGTATCAGTTGGACTTTAGTCCTTCCCTATGGGGTATGCCTATAGGTAGTTCATAGATGCTAGGGTCGGAAGGGACCTCAATAGATCATCGAGTCCGACCCCCTGCATAAGCTGTAGCTTATGCAGGGGTTCGGATATATGTACAGAATATATATAACCTGGTTATATATTTCTGTATATATTCAAACCTGAGCATGCACTGGTATAATTCTCTTGTGGATAAGCCTCTAGTCTTGCTGTGTAAGTTCTCAGACAATGCAGACTTCAAGTGGTGGAATTGTTCTTTTATTGCATTAGAAGGGCGCAGACAGCTTTGACTCTTCTGATCTCACTATTTGCTTTTAAAGCTCCCAAACAACATCTAGAACCATGGTGCTTGATTTGAGGCAACTAGAGGAACAGCTCAGACTTCCTTTAGGTCAGTCTTTGCTTTAGTTCTACAGTATACATGAAACTGCTTAAAAGCTCTTCTTCAGATAAGGAATGTAGGTCAAGTTACTGGTAATGCGCCATGAAATGAAGCAT